AACTCCATGTATGTACTCCCACTCGCAGGGAATCCTACAGGTTTCTACAAATATCTAAAAGCGTATCACCCAGCGCGGGCGTCGGACGACAGGTTACCCTTTCAGTCTGAGCTCGCCTGCATCCTTGTCTGAGATGGGGTGGAGTGGGGGCATCCATCCGAGGTCGCTGTGCAGAGTATCAACTCTCTCGGTCTGGATTCTTCAGTGAGCTGAAGAACAAGAACCTATGAACAAAAGCAAGCGCCGCTATCGCAAATGTTACGCCTGTTTAATGATTATTCAGAGGTCCCTTCGAGTCTGGGTTGGGCTGCGTTCTGCGAGCTCGCCATTAGCCAGGGATCTGACGCAAGACACCACTCCAGACTCTTATCAATGCAGTTAGGTTCAGACTCAACTGCGCAAAATAACATCCAAAACCACATCAAATACTATCATCTATCCATTAATCATTCTGATGGAATATCTGCTAATTCTTGTGAATATGAATATCGTCACTTATTGGAGTGCGGGCTGACAAAGCACCTACGCGGGCTTGCATCAGCTTGCCCCCACGGAAACCACCAGCCACCAGCAGTTCAAACTAATGCATATGCTAGGTATTCTGAAGTAGAAAGCTCTCCTTCTAATCGAGGAGCTGAAGGTTGTTCATGAAAGGGTTGTTCAAGAGGTGAAATAGGCGAGCAATCATTGGCCAATCAGGTGGGACGAAACATTGATCACATCATTCTTGCCGGATCCACGCCATTGTGTAAAGGGGGTGATCAATCACGAAATGGGTTCGCTGTCTTTCACCATCCCAAAGCGCCTCTTAACCTACGACCTGTACATAGAATGCGGGAAATACCCGAGCGATTGACTCTCACCGGATGTCGCTTTATCGGGAGTTCAAAGTCGTAACCGCCGACAGGATGTCGCGATAGCTTGCACCTCACTACTCCGCATCATGAGCGAGCCGGCCGACTTATAAAATGGCATTATTTACGCCGGTTGGGAGAAGAAGAAAAAGCAAATTAAGAGACAAAACGATCGATCGCATATACCATCTGGATTCAAAATCTGAAGCATTCCGTCAGCTGAAATCATGGCTCCTACAGCTATTGACACCGAGGTACCTCTTCATACCAGCACCAAGACCTCACTTCCGACCCCACTGAAGTCATCGAACTCATTGGAACAATATGAATCCTTTGATGTAACCCCGAACATTGGTCGCGAGTTCCCAAAGGCAAACCTGGTTGACTGGCTCAATGCCCCCAACGCCGACGAGTTGATTAGAGATCTTGCCATCACAAGTAAGTCGCTGCAGCCAGGAATGAGTGTGAAGCAGCGAATGTAACTGACTGTGTGGTCCAGTCTCGCAACGTGGTGTCGTCTTCTTTCGTGCTCAGGACAACCTGACCAATGATCTGCAAAAGCAACTAATCCTCCGATTGGGAGAGCTTACCGGCCGACCATCCGACTCCGGGCTCCACATTCACCCGGTCCTTAACTCGGAGCGGGAACTGGGGGGGGCTGACCCGGAGATCAGCACTATCAGCTCTGTGCAGCACAAGAAGATCTACCGCAAGCCTCTGGAAGGTGAAGAGCTTAGCCCAAAGAAGCAGTCGACTGCACAATGGCACAGTGACATTGCGTTTGAACCTGTCCCGGCCGACTACTCATCTTTGCGCCTCGTTGAGCTCCCCAAGACTGGCGGCGGTAAGTAGAGCACGCATGATAGGTCTCGAAGTCACCGAATTGAAGCTAAAACAGCATAGATACTCTTTGGGCATCCGGATATGAGATTTATGACCGCCTCAGCACTCCATACCAGAAGTTCTTGGAGAGTCTCACGGTCACTTTCGAACAGCCCGGCTTTGCAGCCGCTGCCGAGCGTGGCGGCTTCAAGCTTTATGATAAGCCACGCGGCAACCCGAAGAACATTGGCAGTATTCTCAAAGCTGTCCATCCCGTTGTACGAACGAACCCTGTCTCGGGTTGGAAGAGTGTCTTCCCTGTTGGCGGCCACGTGAAGCACATCAACGGCGTGACGGCGGAGGAGAGCAAGCACCTGTTGGATTGGTTCCTGGATATCTTGCAGAAGAACCATGATATACAAGTCCGTCTCAAGTGGCAAAATGCTAATGACATCGGTAAGTTGCTTAATCTGTGACTATGGATGGATGTGCAAGTAACTAAAGAGAATTGCAGCCATTTGGGACAACAGAAGCACATTCCACACAGCAACCTTCGATTATGATGAACAAGGAGAAAGATTTGGAAACCGGGCGGTCGGAATTGGTGAAGCGCCTTACCAGGACCCCAACAGTAAGGGACGTCGTGAGGCATTGGGACTCTCCTATGTGACCGGACCTTGAACATGAGCTACAAGACTGTCAAGTACTTATGATATCTTGGACCTGAATATGATGATTAAAGCACACATTGGTGAAGCTAGTTGTCCAAGACATCGTTGGATAGACAGGGTGGAATGCACAGTCCTGCGACTCCTCAAGAATACTCCTACTACAATTCTCCGGGGGGTCCTAGAAAAAGGTCTAGTCTGTAAGCCTTCAAAGCGTTCCCTCATACGCGTGTGCTCGTGACTCAGCGGTTAACGTTAGTCTGCGTGAGTTAGCCAACGAATCCTTACGACAGGTTCGGCAGAAGCACCGACCTTGACTGCCGATGAGACGAGCTACTTGCATCAATCTCATGTATTATGCATGAAAAGCTGACGTCACTCGTCTTCAACTTGTCGCATTAGCGCATACGATTAGATCCTGAATGTCCGGCATAGCAGAGCGCAGGTCTTTTTAATTTTATTCGCGGGAAGTAGTCCTACAAATTCGTTCTTAGATGTAGAATTTGCATGCCCTGAAGGTGGAATTGCATACTAATCTTATACAGCAAGTATACCTAGCGGCATCGCCCCATAGGCTTCATAGTACCCGGTCCAAGTCTCTCTAAAGCTGCTTCTCGTTCTCCTTGCCCTTTGCCTCCTTCGGTGTGCTGATACCAATACCCAGGACAATCAGGATCCGAACCAAGACCATCGGCGCCGTCGTGAAGAAAGCAACGTAGTCCTCGACAGTCCACGTGGATCTGTCCAGCCAAATCTCCCAGCCCCCGACGGCTTGCGCAGTACCGTGGCAGAAAGCAGCGTCGCTCAGAAGCATACCCGCACAGAGAACGCGCCAGAGAGCGAGGTCGTCGAATACCCGCATGACTACGCCCTCGGTGAACGCGAAATGTAGCCAGCCGCCGCCAAGCTGCGTGTAGATGAATTGCGTGTTGGGTTCGTATGCGAAGGCGTTACGCGTCATTCCGGCGAGGTATTGATTCGGTGTGTGAAGAACCATGACGGCGCCGAGCAGCGCGAAGACTGGCTCGAGGGTCATAATGATGAGTCGGTAGATGCCTGGGACTACGGCGGACCCCTTGATTGTGATCCGTTGAGAGGCCATGGTGTTCCAGTCGTCAGATGCAGTCCGCGAGAAGAGAGTCCCGTGATTCTTCAATGGATGGGGTGATAGTATTTTCGCGTCTGAGAATTTCGCGTCGCAATGGCAATTTGATGTGTCGTGCAGGGCAGTGCAGGGCAGCAAATGCAAGTTTGGGGTGAGAATTGACCGAAAATGCGATGAAAGACGCAGCTTGAGCACTACTAGATTGCATCAAAGAAATACGTGCCGGTCACTAGCTTTATCAACTACTGATTGTCGAAGCTTATCCCAGCTCAATGAAACACGTACTCGGATGCGCCGGCTGCGGGGTGACTAGATTCCGAGACGAGCAGTGCCATTGACCCTAGCTTGTACGAAGCTGCTGAAGGGCACGCACGGCCAATGTTCAGTGAACTATGGAGTACATAGTGCAATTTGAGCATGAGTGCAGAGGCCAACAGTTGGTTGCTTGCTACGGCTAGGAATGCTTGATGATCCTGACTTCTTACTTGTGTTTCGTGATACAAGGTGGGACGCGGTCTTCTGCTGCGAGAGGGGCAAGGCCTGACCGATTGTATCATCCCGAAGTGAGACGGCTTGCTTACGGCAGAAGCCTTACAATAGTGAACATGTAACGGGTCGGAAGTTCCTCCGACTTCTTTGAACTAAATTGTGTCCATGGCCTGTGCGGTTTAAAGTTTGAATTCGCTTGGGATTTCAAATCTCGAAGATGAGCGAACAACTAGCCAGTTGAGTAACCGTACGGTGTCTCTCTCATCATACTTGTGCACCTACAAGCTCATCATCTCTTTCAGTTTATGGCAGAGTCAAAATGGAGCAACGCTGGCCTTTTTGATTTATCAAAAAGTCAAACATCACCAGAGAGGCTATGGAGGCAACAGGCTGTGTCTCAGTTGCATGTGGATCCATCATGAAAGTTTCGGCTCCCACTTGAACCATTTCTACCGAAATGATCTGGCTGAAAGCGAGAATTATGATGGCTGGTTGCGCAAGGCCTGTGCGAACCAGTTGTCTCTACGTATTATTATTGGAAAAGAAAAATGGAGGGGGAAAACTTGGAAAGTGCTGGAGAGCCCACGACACTCAATTATTTCGAGTAAGAGAACTGCTGGAACCTTCCGCTCGCTATCCTTTATGCATAACGTGAGAATCAATCGTGCTCTGACCACAACAAAGGGGCTCATCGATCCACAGTCTGATTCAGGTCTGGGACTTCAACACCGACTGACTGGCCTGAGACTTGGTGTGGGTAAGGGGTGTCAGACCATCAAGAGCTTGATGCGCATGGCTTGTGCATGCACAGAGAGACAATGATATGGCTTGAGTATTTGTGAGGAGGGAGGCGTCGGGCATTCCCTATAAAATTAGCACTCTACACATATGGAAATCCTGTGCAGTCTTTCGTAGATAGCTGGTGAATGAATTGCAGCTTATGATATTGATAGTAAGCTGACGATCCTTGGTCGCGACTATCGTCTAGACTAGAAGCATCTCTCATACTACTGGCGATGATTCAGGGTATTAGCCACCGTACTGGATGACCGTATTGACGCTCTATTTCTTGTCGGTTTTGTCAATTTCCCCAATGCTTTCATTTCTTTCAGGATGGAATTCCACTTGTCCAGATTCCAAAGTTGTCTCTCCATCCTGAGATCCTCGTTTCTGTTCTCGGAAGACTAGAAGGCGGATACCAACCACTGCAATGATTGCGGCGATTATGAAACCAAACGTTGCAGGAAACCCGTATCCTGAACGCCAAAAAGTCATTAGTAGTCGTTCGTGCATAGAGCTCAAGGATGGCCAATCAAGAACGTGCTCCTGCAAGTTGTAACTGATACTTGATGCTCGCGACTGTTGATAGAGACAAAGTAAACGTCTTCGAGAACTCACTAAAGGTTGGAGCCATGGTTTGCGGGAAAATGACAAGGGGAAGCCATGCGTCGACGGCATATTGCATTCCATTCATACTACTGATGACCAAAGCGCGCTCCTCATTGTCGCCGGCACATATTTCATTCGCCCAAGTGTAGCTGAAAAATGGCTTGTCAGCCAGGAATCGGTCTGAGATGTAATATTGCATGATGGCCAGGGCAAAGACTTACAAAACCGCCGTCATGAGATGCACACTGCTCGTCAGGAAAGCAAACAACTTCAGCTGCACGCTTGGCGGCCAAAAAGCCAAGATGCCGTTTGGGATCAAGGCCAGCACCTACGAGGATGTCAGACTCAATCATGCTGCAGGGAAGTTCTTGATCTTTGGGATCGTGGCGTACCAATGGGCAGATGATCAATGCAAAGCGGCTTCCCGTGTAGTCCGACAGGAACCCCCAGAGAATGATACAGAAAGCACTGATGAGCTTTGAGCCGGTTGGGATGACATTCCTGTCTACAACCGAAAATTTCTCTGCCTTGAGCCAGATGGCGAAATATCCACCCGATTGGCAAGATTCACCGTAGAGCTGATGGTAAGTTAGGTCTCTGTAATACATATGATGCCGCGTTTGAATAGGAGTGGCTTCTTACGACGTAGCCCAAGACAAAAGCGTACCACCTCCACTTCAAAAGGACTCTTTTGAAAGTAGCCAAGGTGACTCCTGCAGGTGCCGCTTTACCAGCCTTCGTGACTCGATCAATGGCTAGCTCGCATTCTTTGGCGGTCAGAAACTTCGACTTGGTCGTGTACGGTGTGTCCGGTAAGACGAATAGGGTCGCAACGCCGACGGGAATCGTCATGCACTGCCACATAAGATTAGCAACTTTGTCTGATTCTTGTCCAATGCCGACTTGAAGAGGCAACTTGAAGTAATCTCACCCCGCAGACGATGTACAACCATCGCCACCCTGCATGGCCATGAGCACCGTCGAGGCTCTTGTAAACTGCTGCTTGCAGGTATCCACCAAAAGCCGATCCCAGAGGAGCGGTCATATGAAATATGGCGACTCTCTTTGCAAGCTCAGTCTTGGTGTACCAACTTCCAAGTACATAAAGTAAGACAGGAAAGAAAGAGCTTTCAAAGAATCCGACAAGGAAGCGAAATGCGTAGAGCTGGCCAACGTTCTGCGTCCCTGCCTGGGCAAATGTAAAGATACCCTGAAGAACGATAGTGTCAGCATGCATGCGTGCTTGAGATCTCTCGAGAGGGGCAAGACATACCCATCCGACTTCCATTGCGGCCAACCAGATGCTCGGCCTAATCTTCTGAACAATCAAAGTACTTGGAATTTGCATCACAGCATAGGCGCAGGTGTAAACCATTTGAGCATACGTATACTCATTGGCAAACATCTTGAGGTCCTCCTGCATTCCTGAGACGTAGGCGTTTGCGAGGTTTCCCTGGTCGAGATACTTCATGAAGAAGCCTAAGCATCCTATGGTCAAGATTGACCAATCCAACTTGCGAAGCAATACACGCTCCTCATGACTCTTCAGGTGCGTATCCGTGTCCCAGATGAAAGAGCGAAATGACCGCGAGGGCGCATTTGAAGGCTGAGGCAATGATTCTGCCATCGTGGACGTTCGGAAATAACGCCTTGAGTAAAGTCAAAGTTGAAGGTTGCAGATCAAAATCAACAGCCGCAGAACTCAGCAGGACGCAACTGCCTTTAGTATGTGCTCCTCACCCTCCACTGATGTGCCAACTGAATGATATCTCTGCACGTAAATACGCAGACATGCACTGATAGCACGGAATGGCCACTAATAATGATCAACACGGACATGCAAGCCAAAAGTAGAAAAGTCCAAGTGCCGCGGCTCGGGCGACAGATTGATGCTCCCGTCTCATTGAGAACATCTTGCAGAGCAAACCGACGTCGTACTGGAGCCATCGGGGTCATTCCGACGAGTTTGGCCAATAGTAGTTGAGATGGGATCGCGGGGGATGATAAGGCGACAGAGGCAGGGGGCAATGACGAGCTCAGCCAACCACCCGGACGCTTTCCGGGGAATAAGAATCTCGGAGGGTTTCTACCGCCGGAATTAAAACAGAGAAGCATAAATATGCTGGGCTGATTGAGTGGTTCTTCACGCGGTCTTCTATTCCTGCACGTCAGGAAGACTTCATGGTTATGTTGAGGCCGGGCGGAGGACATCGCTGAATCTGAAAGTTCAATCTACCAACGAAGATGGCCAAGAGACATTTGTGCTCGACTACGTTGATTCTTCGCCGGTTTGGAAATAATTCCTGACTTCATCCTCAAATGGCATAGGTTAGTGAATGTCTATTGCACGGTGAAGAGAACAACAGAAATTTAATAGAAACCTACTGGGGACTCTGTTCGTTGCGAAAGCTATGGCTACCTATTGAGGGTGAACAATGGTTTACCTAACCTCCCATCATCGGTGGAGTAGGTAGATCTCCTCTTTTTAGACACCAAGTGGGTGGTCGAGGAACCACCAATGGACCAGGGTCTTTTAGCTACTTAGAAGTTAGAGTATCGAGATGTTGGACCAGAAATTTTCAAGTGTCTCACCACGCGTCTGAACGTCGGAAATGGCGACTTGGTGTTTAGAATACCTAGTTGCTCACCACGAGGCATAAGGCGTTTCAATCACTCTGTATAGGTAAACGTTGTTTGAACCACTCAATCAAGCCTTTTTGGACGTTATCATGTTGACATTAATATTATGTAGCTATACTACTTGCTATTTGGCTCGCTTAGTAAACGTTGTGCTCGCCGTGGGAGCAGCTCTTAGCATGCTCAGCCTGCTCAGAAGCCAATGCCCACTTCTGGAACTCGCGGCGAATGGCATCACGGCTGCGACGAGCAGGAGTGGTGGTAGCACGGCGAGGCAGACCAGCGGGGAGTTCGTTGGCGAAGTCAGCGGCCACACGGGCAGCGGCCTTGGCGTTGATGGTGAGAGCGTCCCAGTTAATATTGTCGAGGGTATCGCAGGCCAAGTGGTAGCATGGGTCGGTGGGGGCGCCGGCACCGGTGAAGATTCCGGAAGAGGGGATACCGAGCTGGAGGAAGCCGACGTAATCAGAGCTGGAGCCGAAGCCACCGAAGGCAGCGGGCTTGCCCTGGGCCGCGATGTAGTCGTGAATAGGCTGGGCGCCGAACTTGTCACCCTCGTTGTCTCCGAGGTAGACGTTGTAGACGGGGTTGATGGAACCGATCATATCGTAGTTCCAGTAGAAGCGGATAGCATCGGCCTCGGCCTCAGAAAGCTGGGCAGTGTAGTAGAGAGATCCGACGAGACCGGACTCCTCGGCACCCCACCAGATGAAGCGAACCTTGTTCTTGAAGCCGCTGTACTTCTTGAAGGATCCAGCAATCTCGAGAAGAGCAGTGGTACCGCTGCCGTCATCGTTGACACCGGGTCCGGCCTGAACAGAGTCCAGGTGAGCACCAAGAACAATCACGTTGTTAGGGTCACCCTCCTTGGTCTCTGAGATGATGTTCCAGGTCTCGCGCTCATCCCAAATGGCATCGACGAGAAGATTGACCTCGAGAGTCTCGCCAGCAGCCAAACGCGCCTTCCACGCAGTAGCATCCTCAAGGGGAATGAGACCCACGGGCACCAGCAGACCCAGGTTCTCAGCGCTGAGGGTAGCAGAGCCAATGTCCTTGCCCGGGGTCTGGTTGTACAGAATAACACCGACAGCACCGGCAGCCTTAGCGAGCTTGAGCTTATCAGCAATGGCGCAAACACCGCGCTTCACAAGAGCAAGCTTGCCAGTGGCATCAATGCCAGCCCACTGGTCAGCGAAGCAGCCAGAGCCTATGTGTGGTTTAATCAGTTATTGTCGCAATGACTCAGTTGATAGATTCCTCCTACCTCTGGTGTCATCGACGGGAGTGTCAATGAGAGGGGCCGTGTCGCCGCCGGGGAGAGTTGTCGGGTGGTTGTATTGAAGAGCGACGACGTAGACATCTTCACCGTCCGGGCCGGTTACACTGATCTCACGCGTTTGGGAGAAGGTGTGGTTGAAGTATTGGACCTTGGTGTCGAGCTGCTTGTAGAAGCGGCCCTGTACACGTTCGAGGATGTAGTCAGAGGAGGCCTTGTAACCAGGCAGACCGAAGGCTCGGTTGCCGCCGTTATCGCGGGCAATCTTATTCAAGTTCCAGAGGTTCCGCTCGAGCCTGGCGATATCACGTTAGACGTCTGCATAGACTCCAATTGAGGTACGGAAAACTCACTCCTCGGTCTTGATGTCAGCCTCTGCCTTATCTGCTGTGAGGGGATCGGTTGCGAGAGATCGTAGCGCAAACAGCGCAGCGGCGAGGGCGGTGGCGGTCTTCATCGCGTATGGAAGCTATTCTCAACGGCTAATTGAGGCACGAGATGATTGTCAATGACTTCTGGAGAATCTTAACGAATGGACTAATCAACAGAGAAGACAAGCCATTTACGCCAGCGGCATGGCGGGGACATTTATATGCTCCGTGTCTACGCCTCCTCGGCGCGCCAAGAGCGTGGATACGGCGAAAACAATATTGCGCGATAAGACGACATGCAGTGACACAGCATCGCGGGCAGCGGGGGAGTTTGCGAGCTCGGTTCGTGCTGGCGCATAGCAGTAGACCTACGCAGGGGGGAGACGTTTGCCGTGTTTACGGTTGGCTCGCCGCAGGAACCTAGGCGTGGTAGGGTTGGATAGCTTCGCAACGTCGTAAAGATGCTTAAAGTGGCGGGACAAAATTCGGCTTGGATGAATTGCGTCCAAGGGTCTGGTAGGCCTGCTTCTTGGCCGGCACCTTTACTGAGGCATCGATGCGTCGCGGGCGATGCTACCTCTGGCAGGTGAACGATGTCGGGTGTTCTTGGCAAGTACTTTTGCTAGAATGAATTGCGAATGTTGGTCTAAGGTTAAAGCCCAATCCTCAACCGATGCCAATACTAGGACGCGGAGAGCAGGTCAATAACTGGGGGGCGACGCGGAGCAGGCGTAGAGCTTGAAAGAAGCACGGAAGAAGTGGAAATGCGACAAGCTCTGGGCTACCGGCGGATCTTCCCCCTCTAGACTCTGTGGATCATCGTTGCTTTATCGGGCAGGTGCCAAGCCTTACGAGAGGGGCTTTTGTCGAGAGTGGCTGAGAGAAACAAGTCTAATCGGACCTTGGACCGTTGAATACCATACCTCTCTGTCCCCTTCTCTCCGAATGCCGCAAGAAAGTATTACGAGAGCCATAAAGTTACTTTTGAAGCCTCGATATTTACTTCTTCGTCAAGCGCTCAAGGCTGATCTGGCCTTCCGTGACTTGTCTAGTCCCCGGCTTTCAAAGGACGTATGAATGTGAGTCTTGCACGGATCACATTGACAATCATCCGCGAATTGCCGCTCGTAAGCCTCTCGCGTGTGTGCCTGCATGCTGCAGCTATAGCGTTGCACTGCAGTCGAGGCCTAGTGAACTCAAGAACATCGTGTCACTGTGAAATGGGTGTTCGCCCAAACTCCAAACCCATCCTCAAGGCGGCAGGGTCATTGGTATGTGGGGTGGCAGGTCAGTGGTTTTCACTGACGCATCCCCAAGAACCGAATTGAGCACGTCAGTCCAGCCGTTCAACCTCTTCCCATTGGCGCTGACGAATAGTTTGTCGAATAAATGCGATACTTGCCGAAACCTTCCAGCAGTGCGCCGCAAATTTCCCAACTTCTTTTCAAGACCGAGATTGACCCTGGTAATGAGGCGCTGGGCCAAGATGACGGGAAAGGCATGTGCTTATGGTTGGATGCCGGCTCAAAGACTTGGCAACGAACAATGCAATCAGTTGTCTTGGCGAAGCGGGGAGTTGCTGATGGATGCGATAACATCCATGGCCGGGCGTGCTCTGCCATCTTGCTTGATCGCTTGAGTCCTGACTGCCATGTTCCCTGTAAGGTTTCTCTTCGGAGATGGCGATCGGCCCCACGCCAGGCTAATCATGTAGCGTCACGCGTGAGTGGGATGCCGGCCCGGCAACCTTCGTTAGTCAAAACTCGGTAAATGGCGTAGAATCAATTGTTGGGGCTGGAGATATTAATAATGCTTAACTCGATGTTCTCTCCTTCCAGACTTGATCCGTTGAGATCAGAAAGAAAAAAGTCCTGACTTATATCTAAAGTACTGAAGTAGGCAAGTCAATTTAAGTACGGTACCTGATAGTACTCAAAGCTCTGAATTACCAATGTGTTGGCAGTCTCATTTATTGAAAAGTCACATAACTTTCTGCTCTCAGCTAACTTGAAGCTTTGCGTAAAGCCACTGGTTCCAATATTCCTTGCCCCAAAGAGAATCATTTGGCAAGTTCAAGTGGAAATAAGCTTCAAGACGGCTATAGACGATTCTGCGATGACTTGCATTTGCTAGCGCCCAAGATCTCGGGTCATGTTGGCTTGGGATTCGAGGACCTTGATGGTCGCGCCCCGGGGATTATCAGACCCGGTTCATTGAGACGTGTCGATTTTCCCTAGGTACTGTCCGAGGTCACAGTGGAGTTCGAGCCGATCTTTGATCACTCGCTTCTCGGGTAGATAAGTCTAGCGGCCTTGACGTTGGTTCGCACTTTGAGGCGCATATGGAATGTAACCCTCGTGCTTATATGCCCGCTTCAGACACAGGTAATTCTTGGAGGAGGGGGAACGCTGTCAGGACCTGTCAGGAACCTTGTTGCAAAACAAAGGCAGACAGGCTCTTTACCCCTTGATGATGATGCTGGACAGCATGGTCACAGCTGGCAGTTGCAGTCAGACCCTGGAAGCCGACACTTGACAGTTCTACGACTCTATACAGTATCGTAAGTCAGGTATGGTACTGGTAAGATGCTCAAGTTCCACATGTGTCTATCAACGTCCACGACACCAAGAGATCTAAGTCTGATGTATGCAGTCGAATCTGCAAGCTCCCTCTCCTTCCAACCGCCAGCGTGCAATCTAGCGGCCTAGCCCGTGTGCCTCGCATCATTTCTCGCTACCATCTGCCACCCTTCTTCAACAACGCCACTAATTGCAGACGCTGCTATACTAGAAAGAGTATTCGTACTCCCCTGCGGTCCCACCTTACTCTCCAAGATCTTCTTTATCTCCGAATGTGCCACACCAGCACTTCGAAGCGTGGAAGATGGAACCTTCCGATCAGCACCATGTGCTACCAGCATTCGAATAATATCGACCTTCTTCTTGATAAAGGCAGCTTGACTCCCAGGCGTTCCTCCGTTTCTAACGTTGAACTGTGCTTGGATTGCAGCCATGAGTGGCGTACACTTTCTTGGACCACAGATCTCGGTATCTGCCTTGAAGGATTGGAGAAGAACCGATACAACATCCTTGTTCCCCTTTTCGCATGCATGGTAAAGCGCCGTTTTACCATAAAAGTCTCGAGAGTTGATATCTATCGACGAGGGAGATGTATCACTGGCTCTACTTTGAACAGGTGATATGTCCAAGCGGGCCGTTGAAGCACGCCGGAGTCTGCTAGCCTCCGCCGCGACGCTGAGTCTCCGATTAGAAGTTGCTGTGAAGATTTCCTCGGCCACTTCTTCTGTCTGGCATTTGTAAAGGATGTGACGGCCGTGCTTATCTTTGAAGTCTGAATCAGCACCACTTTCTAGTAAAAGACGCACCGCCGACACGTGGCCAGCCGTCACCGCCGCCATTAGGGGTGTCTCTCCGTTGCTGTCGGTAAGTTCGAGATTCTGATAGTACTGAATAATTTGTTCGAGGACCCCGACTTCCATATCGCCGTCTGCGATGGCGGCGAATAAAAGTGGTCGCTTTTGGGAATCACAAACATCAAACTTGGGTAAGTTCATGTCATCCAATGCAGCTTCGTGGAAACCTTTCTTGTGAGCCCAAAACAAGGCTGCATCAAACTCATTGTGAGGCGAGTCTTCGACAGGTCCAATTTCCTCTTCAACCCAGTCTTTTGTAGCCAGGAATTCGGCGTGGCTACCACGAAGTCCTTGCACATGACGCAGAAGTTCGTAAGTTTCCATAATTCTCTCCCTGTCCCTAGAATCTTCCTGTAGTCGAAGCTCTATAGCAGTCTGAAGATGTCGGCAAGCCCCAAGCAAATATCGGCCATCGAATAGTAGCTTCCCAAGTTTATGATGTAGCCTGGACGATCGGCCTAGATCAATTGGTTGTTGCATGTCGCATTGATGGTTCAAGGCCTCCAGAATTTTTCTTGCCTTTGCGGTTCCTACTTCAGTCTCACACATGATGTTGAGATCTGCGAGTTGTTCATCCAGATCCTGCTGTTCTAATTCATTGAACTCCTTCTTCCCTGCCTCTGCCAGCAGCTTGCGTATGCTCACCGCGTCTTGGAGATGTTGAGTGGCATTTTCGAACAATTCGCCAACTCGCAATAGCTCTACAATCTCGACGGTCCTCTTATATTTGTAGAGCTGCAGTTGAGGATTGAAAGGAGGCTCCTGCTCATGAGGCTCTGAGCGCTCACTAGAGATGGAACCTCTGGGAATACTGCCATGTACTCTAGGTCTGGAGATCCTCAGGTCCTGATTCCCTTCGAGGAGAACCTCCTCCGCTAAACTGACTGCTGACCTATTCCATTGTTGAATAGTCCTTGCGAAAATCGGATTATTGATTTCTTGACCTCCAATGGCTACATAACCAGGGCCAGGTAGTGAGGTATCACACTGAGAGACTTCGACTTCGACACGGAGTCTGCGCGCAACATATTGCACCCTCCCTATTATCTCGGTATGCGGTTGCTTCGCCTCCAATGTTTGTGCACTATATGGGCAAAGATGTTAGTTACGGCCGTTGATCATCAGTGGTATCCTCCTCACAGTGACAGGGTAGAAAGACTTAGGTTCAACACGGAAGTGTAGTGACTAATTTCTTCCGACGCTTGTTGAACATCGTCTCGACTAAATGCCAGGTCCCATGCCATCCGCAGGTTGCGAGAAAAGCCTGACGGTTTGCTTTCAATCTTATTCAGTCGATCGGCGAGAGTTTCAAGTGAAGTCCGGCAGTTTTCTATGATGTTTCTGATGCATGTGAAATGCTCGTCTTCCGATTTCAAGAGGTGGGCCCTCCTTCTCTCTTTGCATTCATCGCCAAGCAGCGTCAAACAGCTGGAAAGGGCCTCGATTCTCGTTTGAAGTCGCGATAAGTTGCTTTGCGAATGTTTGACCGATTTAATGATCTCATGTATCTTCAAGGCAGCCTTACAGGTTGGGTGAATAAGTCCGATTACAGCTGCTGCTGCCTCCATGGTGAGTGCTGATACGAAATGTTCTCTCTTGTGGCACTAGCGACCGTACCTAGGATTGGCAGTAAGAACTGGAAGGTTCGAAGGTTCCGAGGGAGAGCGTAATTATGTTCATCCTATTAGTTTCTGCATCAGATACTTTCACGTCACAGTCCTAGCTCATTGGCCAGTTCGAAGAAACCAGACGACAGCGTAAGGTACCTATTAGACGGGGGGCGCCAGCTTTGCAAGCCACGTTCTGCTAGGCTGCAAACTTTGTTACTTCTACTTCGACAATAAACCACAGAAACTGCATCCGCAGTAGGTCTGAGCTTCGGGCGAACTGCATGATCAGTTCCGTCCGACCGGTCTATCGCTTCGCCAAACTACCTTGCCCACCCTTCCCCACGCCATCCACATTGGAAGACTCAGGCACCCGTACCTAGGATCAGGGCGGAAACAAAGTCCATATGGATCGATAGGGTTATCTCAAGCTGTCAAGTGGGTGGCGCAAGCATGGGCATGTGCTCATACGCGTCACTAGCTGTTCCGCGGTGTAGGTTCTCGATTAATGACAAGGCTGCTGCTTTCCCTACATGCCATGATTTAGGTATTTCTGCATGTCTCTGCACTTTTCACACCGGTATGTAGGATTTAGCTAAGAGTTACAAATTGCCCTCACCGCTTACCGCAGGAAGTAATCATAGGCTGACTGACGTCTGAATGGCCCAATGGCACGAGTGATCCAACGCAATGGTTTACAATCCCTGGTTCCGGGGCAACTTGTGGGGGGCGGGGTCTCCCCGCGTTGGCACACTCACCATACCTTACATCACTGGGGTTGAATTCCCACACCTCGCACTCACGCACATCATGTTCAGATGTTTCGTCAAAGTACGAAGGCTTTATGAGTGCTATTTTCCTGCAAGCTACATGCACAGATTTACGAGCTGCACACCTCGTGTCTGACAAATCTTCATGCCATGTTATTCATCTGATTGGAAGAATTTGCCAGCGTTGGTCAATAGTAGTTGAACATGACTTGGCAAGGGATTAAGCCCCTTTGCCTACCCAGAACGCCTCATGGTTGCCTTTTCTTGGTTTCTGCATTTGTATGCCGGCTGTCGTCACATTCGACACTTGACAGCCTCACAGCCTCCCTGGATGTCATCACAGATCCAATCCACCTCAGCCTTCCAGGAATATTGTGTGATAAGGGTAGACCCAGATTAAAAGCCGACAGCAACTCACCTTGAAAAGACTAGCTGGTGTAATCAGGCAAGTGCTCTGTTCTCTTAGGAGTTGAGTTCGTGAATCCAAGCTTAACCACCGCTTCTGTCCGCAATCTGAGCATACATACCTCATCAAAATGACCGAACCGATGGCAAGTACCACATCCATCGCCGACAGGTTTCGGGCACAAGTTTCTCGCAGAAATATCAATACGGAAGCTATCATTGAAGCCCCATTAGGTAAGTGTCACGGCTTTGTCTTTGTTCAGACATGTGACGCTGAAAGTAAGATTTCTCATTCTGATCATTACAACAGTCCATCTTGACGATGATGAGCTAGAGGAGGATGTGCGACAATTTGCCGAGAACTTACCCGGTGTTCCTTTCCAACGAATCCTGAGAGCAGCCCAAGTGTCAAAGGAGATCCGGGCATATACAGACGAGGGCTTGCAAGATTCTCTACCCATTAAGTTGAAACCAAAAGAACGAATAGCGCTTAAGGCAGAGAGAGACAAAGCATTCTCCCAAAGTGGTATGACGGTGATTGTCGTCACTGTGGCACTAGCAGCTCTGCTACAAGGCCATGTTCAAGCTTCGATCAATGCCGGCAGTATCTACGCGAGACTTCTTCAAGAAAAGGTCTCTAGCACAACAGGTCGGAGTGATTTGGTGTGGCAGCTCGGTGGAATGAACTCGGCGCCATTCCTAGCCGCTGCTATCTTAGGCGCTCCGATGTCACTCCCGCTAAATTACTGGATGGGGAGACGAGGTGCTATCGCTGTTGCGGCCGCATTAATCTTTGCGAGCTCTTTGGCTTCTGGATTTGTGCATACATGGCAGGAGCTTCTCGGTGTTAGGATTGTCAACGGCATTGGTGAGTCGAAAATTCCATATTCTGTGTCTCCTAAATAATTCACGTCGCCACAAGGCCATGAGATCCGACTGATACGTTCAATTGACAAATTTCAAGGGATGGGTATCAAAGCCGTCAGCACGCCGATCTTGGCATCTGAGACTGCGATTGATCAATGGAGAGGCTCTTCTATTCTAATGTGGCAACTATGGTAAGTCCGCCTGATCAATTCATTTTGATTAAACAGTTCTATTCAGAGAATTTGACGCATTGGTGATATCACACATGGCAGGGTTGCCTTTGGTATCATGTTAGGAAACGCCATCAACTTAATCCTTGCTGGGGCTGTGGGGGCTCTGGGTTTTCCACTTGAACCAAAGGACAGTACTGCCTCTCTTGATGTCAAAGGCGATTTGGCGCTTCGATTAATCTTAGCCGCTCCCATGGTCCCAGCCGTTTTCACGCTCATTGCACTGGCATATTGCATGGAGAGCCCGCGATTCTATATGCAGAAGAACACACCAAACTATCGACCCATGCGTGCCTATGAAATCCTGTCTAAAGTCCGGAACACACAGGTTGGTTTCCATGTTATGATACTCCCCCACTGTCATTTACTAAATCAAACATACAAACTAGCTTCAAGCTCTTCGAGATATTTACCTTATCCACATGAACGTTGAATACGAAGAGGCACAGAATCTACCGGAGACGCCTCATGAATCAGGCGTGTCTACGGAGAACCAAAAACAAGGTCTAACATTCGCGAATCACATGTCATTCGCCTTGTCAGATGCCTATCGGCAATACAGCCACCTCCTGACTACTCCACGACTGCGAAATGCAGTCTGGAGCACGTGCATAGTGGCTCTCGCACAGCAGCTTTGTGGAAGTAAGATTCTATATCCTTCGATTGGCGTATCAGGATTGAACTAACTAATAATATCCTCAGTCAATGTTTTCGCCTTCTACTCAAGTATGACCAGTCATCTCCCGCATGACGACTTTCGCGGCTCATGCTTACCATGCCAACAGACAATTTCTTCATCAAAGGAGACCCGAGCCCTCGCAACGCCATGCTTTACAGCTTAGGCTTTGGTAAGTCAGACTCTGAGCTCTCTCCGTCACCGAAATCTACCAGTAGTGTACTTATTTGGCATGATAAACAGGTGCCATCAATTTCCTGTTCGGCCTTCTCGCAATTAGGTTAGACTCTCGGTTTTTGTTACCGTTTTGAAGAAGCTCCTTCTGACAAATTGCCAGATCAATCGACGTCTTCGGGAGACGGCGGTGGCTACTCGTCACGCTGCCATTGATGTGCATTCTTTTGGCCGCAGCGGCCATGTCGTTCCTAATTCCTAAGGGACCCGTCCAAATTGGAATCGTCGCGTTGTTCATCTTTTGTGAGACTCCAAGATGGCAGAAACGTTTGTTTGGATGACTAACGCCGCGTCAGTGTTTGCAGCTGTGTACTCACCAGGACTTGGTCAGTAACGCGCGTAGTAACTAAGGAGCTAAAGCATCTGTTAACTTCGTGACTACAGGGCCTATCCCCTTCACACTTGCTTCCGAAAGGTACCTGTCTTTTAGGTTAACTACAAATATGTCAGATCTCTCATTTGATGGCTAAAGTACTAACACCTTACGCATGAAGTTTTCCCCTCTCCCAGCGTGAGGCTGTAAGTTCTAGATAGATCGATCTCTGCAACGCCCTGCACGAGACTGACGTGATACTCCAGGGATGTTCTGTCGCCATCTCAGTCAATCTTTTCTTTGCGGGTATACTCACGATCGTGTTTCCAGCTGTCAATGACGCGCTGAAGCCGTATGGTACGCTAGCGCTATTCGCTGGACTCAATCTCGTGGCATTTGCTCTGGTCTTTTTGCTCGTCGAGGAAACCAAGCAGGCAAGCCTTGAAGAGCTGAGTCTCATCTATGCGGTGCCAAAGAAGGATTTCGTACGGTTCCAGCTCAGAGAGCATTTGCCATACCTCGTCAAGAGATACCTGACGCGTACTTGGAGTGGCGGTGATCCACCCAACTTTTACACAAAGGTTATTGATGGTTCTTATTCTCACGAGATGGGGCCAATGAGTCGGGATGAACCGACGGGCGAATGACGCGACTGGAATAGAAGGAGGGTTTCTCTTACTCCTGGACACATGTGCCATCAACACCTTGGGCCATGATAGTACCAAATTTTTCCTCTCAAGGTAGTGAGGCTTTGAGTGGGCACAGGATGGAACCTGGAATGGTGCTGAAATTGCCTACGTATATGAGATGTGCGATTCATGCAAAGTAACGGAACTGAGTAGATAGCTGAGACATAATGCTTCTGCGTTGATGCGTCGATCACGACGTCATTGAGAAAGGGAAATATCACTTAATACTTTATTTGACGACTTCAACAAGAATGCCTCACGCGTATGTAACCTTACTTCTCAGAGAAGTGGGCTGATCACTTCGAGCTCTCTGAAAGTGTGTTTGTCAGGCCCCCAGTACCGCCAGATCTATCAAGACTACATGTATCCCATCAGCTGCGAGATGGCATCATGACAAAAGTACGTACTCTCGTGAGGGGTCACAGCGAATCATTTGTCAATCTATTCTTGTTTCCCTTTATCTGCCGATCAAAAAGTCCGTGTATGAGCAGAGTTGGGAAAAATTCTGGATACGTTTTGACTAATGCCATATAGCAGTTGATTGAGTACGTCACGTGCTATACAATGGTTTATTATCACGAATGTAGGCGGGCACGTCTTTGTCGGGCCTCCACGCGTAAGTCAACATATCAGCCGCAAACAGTAGAATCAGCGCCAATCTTGCCCGTGGTGCGTCTCGCCCGGCCGCGTCCCATCACCAGGCTGTACCTGTTACTTCAGTCTGTCATACCTTACGATCCTCCATTGACGCCAAGCGTGCTTTGCATTAACGTCAGTGCATTAGGCCCGGGTTCTGAACCGCCATAGATGTTCTCTAGCATCCCGGGTGGAAGACAAGATGCTGGAACAAGTCTTTCGGGATCTGAACAGGACAAATATTTTTGAGGCTGCCTGAGAGATTCAGCTCCTTTGGACTTCCCGAAACTTTGCGGGAACCATCTGAAGTCGGCAATCTAAGATCGGGCCGCGATGCTTTCGGTCTTCAAAGGCCTCTCAGCTGACAGGCCCTCAGATGGCGGCGTACCGATGGCTGGCTGATCTGTAAATACCCAGCAGAGATCTGGGTTGTGATGTTTTATTGAACAAAAAGACATTTACGATAGAAAATACTGTGACAGGTCTCATGTCTGTGCGGGGGTGAGTTCGAGATCAACAAAAGCGGACAACCCGAGAGGCTGGGGCTGAAGCGAGGGTAGCATCCGGAAAGCTTAAGAAATGGGGACAGGGCGCTGTTAGCTCGATGTCGAGATAGGTGCTGTAAGCACATGTGGGAGATGAACGTGGAAGAAAGGCCGGAAATGACCACAATTACTCCAGAGCTCAACCGTCACAAATTTTGAGCTTCTTGTTATTGCTTTCTAACGGTAGTTTTCTGGGGAAGGAATGCAGGGGATCGCGAATGTAACACCGTTAGATTAGGAAATTCCGACTCTCTCTCACGAATCACTCTTTTGGGAACAATCGTGGCCTTTCGTCGCTGGATTGCCACAACACCACACGCCTCGAACTGGTGTTCCTCGAATGTAGACTAGCCCCGTTCGTGGAAGTCAAAATTGCCAGCTGAGAGAGTGTCTCAGACGCCATGTTCGCATTCCCATCCCACCTGACTCCACACCTTAGCTTCCGTGATGATGTCGACGAGAACAGGATAAGCCCCTGTGACGGCGCTAAGCCCACGAGGATGAGATTCGCCCGGTGCGTACGCTTTTGTAGAGCCGAATCCCTCTAGATCAGACCGCACGGGAGCGATGCGCGAGGCTGTGGACTGCCACGGAAAGGTTTCACATTCACGAACTACACGCCTGCGCGTTCCGTCCAATGACATGGGGAAGTGACAGGTGTCAGATCGTCCACAATGTCTTAACGTTTCGTCTCGTTTGGGAGCTGTCAGGCCAGCCATGAACGTTATCAGAAACCTTGAGATTCTATCCGGCATAGTATTTGACTTTGGTTTTCAAGGATTGAAATGTAACCATAGTCCAGTTGTACACACACAGAAAGTTGCAGCTAGCTAAGTGCTTGCGACCTGCAATATCAGATCGTCGTCGATTATTTCCTTGACCTCATCATGAATGAGGGTCCCGTCTTTCCAAACTACGTCGAGGGTGACGTCCTCACTCCATAGTATGCAGCTTAATGCCCATCAATGACCATGACCGGTGCCGCAACCGAGACAAGTTCCTACTAGATGCTCTCTGTGGCTGGGGAAGACTAGCAGCCATGTGCGGGTGTGTATACGCTAATTGCCGTTAGGTCCATCGACCTCGTTCCGGAGAGGAGTCCAGGCCTCGTAGCTTGGCATACTCACCCGGCGCCATGGGACGTGTGGCGTCACCGGCGACAGCCAGTTCTTGAAGACATAACCGCTTTGGGTTGGGCTTTTCTGTATCATGGAGGTTGCGACGAATGCGGATTTGAGTGTCTGCGCAGCAAACGGGGCACGCTCTCGAGAGCCATGTATCAGTTGCACACCCTCTTGTAAGGAGGTAAGCCTCCGTGAATCGAAAAGTTATAAAGGATGCCACAAGAGAGATCGACATTCATTTCTCGTTATAAGGACAGACGTGTCTTTTAAAACGGATTGTTCACCTTGAGCTCGGAAGCTTGCAATCACAGATTTCGCAATCAAAAACCATTTCCCCTGGATTACACATCGTCATCTCACAATGGTGAACACCAAAGTCGGTCGTCAGCTTTCGGGCGATAGCTCGAATGTTGCTGGCACGTTACCAATGCTCAACATTGCCAATACCACGAGGAATAACATTGTAGCTGTGCTCGGGGAGTTTGTCGGAACATTCCTCTTCCTCTTCTTCTCATTCGCCGGTACTCAAGTTGCCAACACGCCTCTTGGAGCACCAGGATCGGACCCCAACCTCCCATCCATTATCTTCATCGCGCTTTCATTCGGAGTCTCCCTCACTGCAAATGTGTGGGCATTTTACAGGGTTACGGGTGGGATGTTCAACCCTGTGGTAAGTGTTGAGATGTCCCAGCTTACCATGTTTGTGTAACTCACGCAAGATCTTCATAGGTGACTCTCGCCCTCACTGTTTGTGGTGGCCTACCGCTACTGAGAGCTCTTCTCATCATGCCCACTCAAATCATAGCCGGATTATGTGCAGCCGGGGTGGCTTCTGCCATGTTTCCTGGTCCCCTCTCCGTGACCACAGGACTGGGTGGTGGCACAAACACAGCTCAGGGCTTCTTCATCGAGGTTATCTTGACCGCTCAGCTGGTGTTTGTCATCTTGATGTTGGCCGTTGAGAAGCATCGCTCTACCTTCCTTGCCCCTGTGGGCATTGGTCTGTCATTCTTCCTTGCCGAACTCACAGGTAAGCACGTCCCATCCTGTCTTCCGGCTAAGCACAATAGATACTAACATGACGTTCCTCAGGCGTCTACTTCACTGGTGGTTCACTCAACCCAGCTCGATCTTTTGGACCCGCTGCTGTTGATGGCATATTCCCCAGCTATCACTGGATATACTGGCTTGGTCCGATCGTTGGATCTCTGATTGCTTGTGGATTCTACCTTTTGTTACGCAACCTTCGATACTATGAGTGCAACCCTGGCCAGGACGATGATGGCCACGAAACGAGCAGCGAGCGCAGCTTCAAACCCTAAGACAAGAATGAAGGCTTCCAGCGAACGATTATTCGTGCCGTAGCACCCTGCAACTGCTACAAGTGGCCGATACCAAATCGAAAACAGGCGCAAAGGGCGTTAGGTGTCGCTATCCAATGTTATTGAGGTTAATTTAGTCTTACCGGAAGAAAAGCTCGTTTCCACAGCATTCTGGTTCAGGAAACCCAAGCTTGGAGCTTTAATGTGAGAGGATGGATAACTGAGTTGCTATCAAAGCCTTCAGGCCAGTGGAATCAAATGTGAAATTACAATGATGCCACAAACTTGCAGGGAGCCCGCCGAATATTTGCCCGCATATGCTTGTGCTGAAAAGATGCCTTAGATAGTTTAGGTTTGTGCCTCATGAGATCATGATACTCAGAACTACCGAAGAAAGTTGAGTAGGGCACTTTGATTAGAAATAGGTAGCACATCTGGTCATCGAAGTTCAAGCCATTTGATACTCGCTGCTGCGGTGGCTCAATCTCAAAGATACATGGTGTTGTGATCAAGAAATACCGACCAGGAAAGTCTTACCCCTATAGCTTGAAGTTCTAGCCACGAGCAGCCCACTTACGATAACCTTCAGGGCCGAGGTGAATACTCTTCATGGACTTGACAGAGGCAACAATGTATAGGAGCGTACATTTTCCCAGTTTCCAAAATCAGGAGAACGTGTGCCTGGGAAAGTGCTGAGGATTAAAGCTGTCCCCTAGAGAGCGAACTTGAAGCCACATCACCAGCCACTGTCCAAATGCCTCAATTATGCCCAATTTGTGGCGTAATTCGGTCTCAGACCAATCGTTCGTCAATGAATTTGGCAAGGCTCATTTCTGTGGCGAATATCAGCATTGAAGTGGATTAAGTCATAATCACTCGCTGAGAGACGACTCGTCTTGTCGATCTTGACAGTTTCAAGCAGCTTCATGTTACGCAGCAACATGTACGTAGCCACTCACGGGTCAAACCACAATTCGGGGTCCTGTTCCAGAATGAATTGGTGGAGTTGGAACGGCGATCGGGGAAATTCATGTCAGATTCTGTGGCGCAGATTGGATGGCGAACCTGCAGGATGCCGATCAGATAGGGTTGACATACCAGGGTCGACGGGATGGTGTCCTGAAGCACAGGGGTCAGACGAATTCTTCGCCCCGATGCTGCTGTCAGTAAGGCTTACTGACAGTGGTTATGCCGAATCGAAGAACTTCCACTTGATCTTCACTGCATAATCCTTTCGTTGCTTGCTTTTTGGCGGCTCGATTGAGTTTCGTCGTTTCCTTATGATGGCCCCATTGGCCGGTCACCGATCCGACTCCGATTCGGTCGGTCAAGTCCGCAAAGCTGGGGCCTTGTGGCACATGACTTCTAAGCCATCTCACGAGCGAGATGCACTGCATTCTGTATATGCGACAGTTCTTACCAAACCACACGTGGCTGCGTCACCTGGATTATCCTCAATCATACCTGTATCGTAGACAGTCGAAGCAGTGCAGTGGCGAAAGATGGCCAGGCCGGATTCCTCCGTGCGGCTGTAAGAACGAAAGGGCGAGAGATGCGGTAGTCGTTTATCTGCCATTGACGTTCATTGTCGTTTGCACTGCTCAACCTTGAGCTAGTTGCCCAGATCACACGACTGTGTGCTATCATGGATGTCGACTGCATCACATTGGTGGCCCATGCTTCAGGCACCGAAATTGCGGTCTTCAACCACCAACCGAGCGTGCTCTATTTTTTCAGCAATGGCTATTTGTAGTCATTTGACCGAGAAGCTATGCTGAGGGCATCCATCGTGGAGTCTACGCCGCCTCTGCCGTAGCTCTTCCCCGACATACCATTGGTTACTTAAAGAGGCAGCCCCTGACCCTAAGTTCTCAACCACCCTCAAGAGCGCCTCGGTCTTCGGCAAAGGACTTGACCCAAAATGGAACTGGCAGCTCCCGGGGGTATGTGAATACTCATGACAAAAAGCTAGTCTCTGCTCTGAGTCCAGGTTTGAGGCCACCGTTCGAGCCGCTTGATAATCGTGCTCTTGAAGCCAGGCTCACGTCAGTCAGGCATCCCACTTAAGACCATTTCATGTCAAAGCAAGCAGGTCATTGTATACCAACCTATCTCGATCAATACTATATAAACCTCGCGGAAACATATACGACAGTGCTCAAGACTGGATCATTCTGGTAAGTCCCGAAAAGCATACGCACATACCCAAGCTGGTACGGCCCGCTTCCAAGTATGTCAACCAACTCTCTTAGCCTTTAGATTCATCCAAAACCCAATCCCGAGCTCAAACAAAGAATCTGGCTGGCTGCCGCGCTAGCCGACAGATTTGACGCTGTCAGAGCCGACTTACACAATGGCTTTCCCCGCGGGACTCCCAATCCGACAATTAGATCACAATTTCAACAATGGTGAGGGAAGTATTTTGTCTTTTGATCAAATGCGGAGCCTGACCATGGAAAATCCTCTCTGGCGAGAGTTCATCAACAATCGCTTAGCCCTCGAACGCCGTTATGAGCAGCTTCTGCACTTGTACGAAGGAAAGTTTTCGTAAGTCGTGCCTCTTCGAGAAATCCGAGTTGCTCTGACGTAAATCATTGCAGGAACTACTTTGGTGGTTTCATGCCAATCCACTACGGGACCTTGACCAGCAGCACCATGGATCCCGAAACTGTGGTTAAAATAATTCTGACGCTTGAAGAACTTTCGATGTCTGAATCTTCAGAATCATCTGTGAGTCCCTTCACAGATGAGTACGATACTCTGAAGAGGTTGGGTTGGGAGGACATACAAGCAAAGCAGCCTTGCTGGGCGCTTCTATCTGATACATACGCCGCAGCAACAACCGCGTCTACTAGAGCACCAGGAGTAAGAGCTCACTGAGTCCTACCAAATGTTTCAACGTTAACGTGTTTGCTAAGCACAAATCTTCACTGAAATATTCAGACTCTCCGAAGCCCTATGGAAGCAACCCTGCCCTGCTTCACATAGATGGTGTCTCTGATGACGAACTTCGTGATCAACTATTCGTCGCCAGAGAAGCGGGATGCATCGGTATTGTTGTTGAGCTTGTGGAAACCCAATTCAATGGGAGAGTCTTGAATCCCAGTCTTCTCAGCCGGCTGGGCGTCATGTGCGCAGAGTACCAATTACTGTTAGCAGTAGATGAAACTCTGACTGCCATACGTTGCGGTGCACCATTTTGCTTCCAACGGGAGGAGTACTTCGATGTTATCTCCCCCGATCTCGTCTTTTTTGGTAAGGCTACTGGCTCTCAGGGAATCGCCATCGGCTTTGATGGGCAATTTGTCAAAAGATTTGGGCTCTTGGGGACTTCACGCAGTCGAGCTGTTCGTAAGTGGCAAAAAAACTTCCAGAAGCCACTGCCGACTGCAGACCTCATTCAGGCCATGACCACAATCGAGATTGCAGTTAAGGGGAACTTTGTGATGTTGAGTAGAATTATCGGACAGGCTATTCGCGACTTTGTCCTCGATCAGGCAGCAGAACGAGGACATGAGGTGACTCCTCCTGAAATTCTTGGAGGGCTAGAGAGCCTAATCTTTGTCAGGAAGGATATTGCTGGAGAGATGCTGGTCATGGGCGCGAAAACGGCTGGTTCGTGGATACCTTGGGTTAAGTGGCTCCCCAGGCTTGAGAAAGATATGACGAGAAGCGAGGTGCTCGAAGAAATCATTGGTAGGAGTAGCAGATCGGCTCGCGAGGAGCTCTCAAATTTATTGACGAAGCGAGGATCTAAGCCGACTTGGTGTTTCTGGTGTGGAAACCGAACCACAGCGAAGAAAGACGATTGGTGTCGAAGGTGTTGCATCGGCAAGTGTGAGGGGGAGGTGTGTGGGCGTCACTTCTTCCGGCATCATTGTGTTTAAGAACAAGTCACCTCAAGAAGTAGGGTTACCTAGGATCACTATGTTCCTCTTCCTTTCTTAAATGATGGAGAAGATCGAACAGAAAAGGGACATTGGTCTCTGACAAATGAATCTACTTGCTTCTAGTACTTAAAGTGCCTTGGTTAGGCGCACACTGCTCACAGCAATAGGACTTACACCGATAGATGTACTCTCCACATCAGCTCAATTTCAACATGGCCTCACACTCAAGACTAAGCTCATAAGATCTAATAGATCTACTCACCTAACATCCTCGCTTCATCTGCAGAATCGCCAAAAAGGAGAGATTACGATGAAAGGAGGATGGGATGAACAGGTTGTCACAAGCAGTGGAAAGCTTGAAGTGTGTTATGTAAGCAGCGCGAACTCCGATCCAACCCATATCCGATTAGCAAATTGTTCACAATGACGTATGATCTGCCTCAAGGCGTGTCGCATGACCTCGATGTCGATTGCGGGGTTGAAATGACAAACTTGACTAATTACTTCGGTAGCTTTGGAAGCTGTCTTTGGTTTTCCCTGAAGAACTCAAGTAATTGGTAGTCTGCCATCTCATGGTGTAGCATCAAACTCTAATTCGGATGCTACGATGCCTTATTCCGACGATCTTCCGCAGACAAGAACCCCTCTGCTGGGCAACAATGGCCAGTCGGAGGCAGCAGCTAGAATAGTATGTTTCCAAAGTCTACTAAATGGAAGCTTTGACAGCTAGATGTTCGTGAGCTAACAATAAGGAACAGCGTTCAACTTCACGCAGTGTTAAAAATCAGAGTAGCAGGGCGGTGTCTTTCATCGTCCACATCTTCCGGGGTGGTCTCTTCTCTCCACCAACCTTGACATACGACCCACTACTCTTGCTCCTGAATCATGACGACCAGGACGAAAGAAACAGACTCACTGAGAAATGGAAGGACAACAAGCTGCAAGAGCTTAACTTCGTAGGCGTGGTAGTGAGTTGAGCTTTTGTCTATAGTCCAATGCGCAGTACTACATGTTTTACGGCAGTTGTGACTTGTGGCCACATACGCCGGGCTAACATAGAGACAGTCCGCTCTGCTCGCAAATGTCCTCACATCGACCGGTTCATGGCCGAATCTTCTGCCCCCTGAAACGACCACTCCCTGGCCTGTACGGACCTGCTGGTTCTGCGGTATCGCTTTTGCCCTTGCCAGTGTGTTGACAGCGGCAGACCAGACAATTCGGCTCCATAGAATGGCCGGACATAGGGATGGCTTGGTTCTCATCAGACAGTCTCTGCGCACCCAAGATCGGGTTTTGATTGGCACTGAGTGGAAGTACCGCCCTCGCAAAATGCAAGTCTACGCCTGGCAGTTGTCAGTTCTGTTCCTGGCAGGCGCGGTTCTCTGCATGATCTCAGGGATGATCTTCTTGGTTTGGAGCGCTGTTGCCGAAGACATCGGCAGAGGAAAGGGTTTTGATGACAACGGCAAGGTCAGAAGGATCAGATTCCTCATAGTTCTTGACGACACTAACACTCACTAGGTTGCTGTGATATTCACATCATTCGCCCTAATCACAGCCATCATCTTCGCACTGGGTCAAACAACGCTGTACTACCCGGTACCGAAGGGAGGCGACATTGAAGATAGTGACTGAAATTCTAAGAGACCTCTTGCTCTCGGCACTTACCAAAAGGTGCTTAGCTTGGTACTCAAGCAAGTAGACTGATGTCATCCAAGGTCAAGCCTTCGAGCAACGCGATTACTGAGATAAGATCTTATAAATATATTATATATAAACTAAGATTTTAGGGAATAAGGTCATAATTATGAGCCTTCCTCACAGATACTTTTACGACCACTGTAGTTGAAAGTTAATTGTTCATTATGGTGTCATCTACGTCCCAAGTAAATTCGTACCCTTCATGCCTACTTCAAGCGGCACTCTCCCTCGGTTTCTGTCCTGCAACGGAGTGGTAGAACACATACGAATGGATGCCAGTATTGAGTAGATCCTTTCGTACATCAATCAGGAAAATCTCGACCTCAGGAGTAGACCATCCCAGGCCTCGTGTGAGTGGCCCCATCGTGACTCCATGTATGCCGTCGTAGAGAACAGCTTTACAGTATGCTCCAATCATTTTCAGATCTTCTCTCTTTGGCCACTCGCCCACGGGAACCTTTTGAACATCTTGTACTAGATTGATAAAGCCCGCGTCGTCGATACGCTTGGGGTTGACGTCGGCAACATCTGCTTCGATGCCAAACTTCCCGAGGCCTTTCCAAACAAGCTTCATCATCTTAGTGAGGGCATAGTCAGGGGACATTGTGTCATCGTCGCAATTGAAGTTCCACTTCATCTCCTGGAGTTCGATCCAGCCTCCTGGTTTCAAGGCGCTAGGAAACGTCAGATGATATCGAAGTAAGAGTTGGAGAAAAAGATCAATGATGTAACCATACCGAAACGCTTGGGCAAGGAGTTTCTCCCAGTCTTTGATTGCAGCTCCCATGTTTCGAACGTGAACGTAATCAAGAGAGTTTTCTGGGTACAACCATTCGGCTTCAGCATCGTCGACGATGAAAGCAACATTAGCTGGGACATATGGAGGTTGAATGGGGCTGAGATCAATTCCCGTAACCTCTGCTTCCGGATATTCGTCACCCACTGTGAACATTAGTCTTTTCCTTTGCGATTCACCTGCAGGTATGTCAAATGGATCAACTCACTGTCAATTGCCCAAATGCCAGTCCCGGTTCCGACATCTAGGATTTTCTGAGGATTCTCGAGGGGAGCACTGTGCAGTGCCCCGCCGCAGAGTGTGACAACCATGGAGTGCTTCATATCCTCCCTTTCTTGCTCGGCATCGTCGTTAGGAAATGCATATCTGCCTTCTTTGAACTTGTGGTATCTCCTTTTGTTTTCAAAGTTGAAATCACGAATTGTAGATGCCAGCGTAGTTGATGCGTTGGACTCTCTTTCGGACGCGGATTGGTAACCGTCACTACCATCATCGGTCTCGTCTTGGGCCTCAACAACTGCATTTGGCGACTGAGAAGCCGTATCTGGTGGTCCCTCTACTGGTGCAGCCCCAGGCGATTGGCCAGAGCTCGGCGAGGTGACCGTTAAGGCCACAGCCGGAGGTGACTGTGCGGCGGTGGCTGGTGTAGTTGTTGGAGATGCTGCCTCTGCCGCTCGTACAGGGGATCTCGGATGAGTGCTTGAAACAGCCGTTTGATCAGCCATTGTATTTTATGAGTCAACGTACGTCCGAGGAAATTCTTGGAAAACGACTCGACGAAGCAATTTTCAGATGCTGGGAACTTAGGACAAAGAAGTTGAGGAGAGGGGAAAGTATAACAAGGAAGGAACAAGACATGGCATGTTATCGACCGTGTTGTTTCCCCGCTCGGACTTGGCAAGATATCCAGACGCAGACAGCTGGCTAGGGTTTGAATCCTGCTCCGCGATATCTCCGGGTTGTCATCGAATCACGTGCAAGGTCTCTGGCCAGATGTTTGCTCGTTCTACTTGGCGTCTGGAAGATGGACAAAGAATAACGCGGGCTCCGTGTGCCCTCAATCGTGTGTCGTCATTCCGGAAACGCAGAGGATTAATAGGTAACTAATATCTGTTTCCATAAAGCCTAAAGTTCGCAGCCATTGGAGAGACTCAAAGGCTACCGATCGAAATGCGAAAGCAGACGACCAAACAGTTTCGTACAAGACGTCAACGCTCGGCGAGGGGCGCATTCTCAATGCTAGTGGCTGAGGCCCTTAAGATACCTTATTCTGGGACAATCTCATTAGCCATTCCAAAATTCTCAGCGTAATACAATTTCCCGGCAGAGTGTGCTTAGTAAAAGAAGGAGAGCTGCGGCACAACGTGTGTCGGAGCAAATGTCCGGGTTCCCAATGGCCAAGTCCGGAGCGGTCGGGGGTACCAAAAAGACTGCATGTGCATAAGAGCAGTCAGTCTTTGCGGTTCTAAGAAGCCAAAAGCTGCCTCCCTCTCACTGATTTCATTTTGACTACAAGAATGTGAGTGGTCGAAAATCAAATAATGGTAAAATGTTGAGCGATGACGCGTATTTCATGAACAATTCCATATGACCTATAAGTGCGATGTGTTAACTATACAATGCTATTCACTCGGGCATTACCAGTGTGCAGAGTTTACCTAGATGGTCTTGTCATTTCGTGATCACACTGTAAGTCTGGAGAGTATTGAATGTATGTTTCAAAAGCCATGGTGAAAGATCCAAGTTCAATCTTGCCAGCTATTACCGACTAAGTACCTTGGGTAAACTCAAACTCTTTATTAACCCCCTTTCTCGTGGCTGCCATTCAGCTCCCTCGCCTAGCTTACAGATAAATGTAGCAGAATGGACTGCCTCCAAGTGTATTAAGCAAGTCACTAATAGGCCTGTTGGGTGCGTTCGGTACCTGGATTACGAGATCGTCAAGGCGAGCGTCACGGCTGGGAGGCGTATTTAGGATCGTGATTGTTCCGGCAATATTGAAGGCTTCTCCGAGGTGAAGCGCCTGCCACAGCCAGTAAACTCGGTCGACCATCGCGTGGTGAAGAAAGAAAGTCGGTTCATTAGTCGACGAGAAAAGGTCAGAAGCTTCACCGTTGACAATGAAGTGTCCGGAAGTGTGTGTCCCTGCTTATTGTCAGGAACTCTGCTTGCTTGAAGTGGGTTGACGAGAGCTTACCCAGAAATCCATCTCCAAAGCGGCCCTGGAGTTCGTTCTGGAACGTCAAAATGTTCTCTGCCGCAGCGCCCACAGTGAGGTTCAACACATTCTCAGGAGTCATCCAATGCTGAGATGTCCAAGCGCTGATGTCTCTGGAGAGACAACGAGGATTATAGGCCAGAGGGCCGCCGGGATTGACTGCCAGACCATCGATGCCAGGGCTGACAGGACCGAGATGAACGGTCATGCTGGAGAAAATAGTCAATCTTGTGTTTCTTTCTTTTGGTCCAGAAGGAGGCTTACTTGGCGAAAGGGCCGCTTGTGACACAACCACCTCCCTCACCAGAGGGGATGTAAACACCACCACCCGACGTGCTGCCGTTGTGATATTTGAAGACACCGTTGCCACTCATGCTAGTCTCGCTGCCATCAAACATTGGCGACTTGGAAGGATCCTCTCGGTAGGAAAGCCAGTTCCAGTACTAGCACACACATCGTTAGCCGCTGCAATTCCGAGTGCCATCCAACGCCATCTACTCACCGGTTGATAACCATTGTAACCACATTCCTGCCTCAAAGCATTCTCGTAGGCCCACGTAAAGTAACGATGCCATGTGAGGAAATTACCGGTCCCGTGGATGCTCAAAGTCTGGTTGATATGAACAGCAACAAAGTCGTCATATCGGCTGCGAGCGCCGGGAGCGAAATCCGTAAGCTTGGAAGGCTTCGTCAATAGGCAATTGACGGCGCTGGTGTAAGCCTTCTTTTCAGATCCGGAGAGCGAGTTCCTGTTGATGTAATCAGTGAATGGACGTTAGTTCCGCTTGGACAATTACGTACCAGTCCCGGCGAACACGCGCGTTGAAGAGGGTGCATGAGTCTCTCTTGCCAAAAGTACCGTTTCCCTCGGCCGCCTGAAGAGCTTCGATAGCCTGAGCCTGGACCTCCGACAATTCGTCGCCTTCAAAGGCGAGAGCAGTCGCTCCGTAGAGACTCAGCGCCGCGAAGAGGTTGAGGAAACGCATTGCGATGCGGTCGGCGGCTTTCCTGACGTAGGGAGCTGGGGTGTGAAATTTCGTGAAATTGAGAGCACTAGTCAATCAGTGAGAACAGGCAACGGCGATGGATGCCGTGACAACTCTTATTTATCTTTATCTTCAATTCCAGCCGACGGGCAACCTTCTGTTATCCATGTCAAAATAGCGCCGGCGCACTGGGATGACAACGGCACGCTTCCGAGAAGTTCTGAAGAGGCACATCGGCCGGGAGGCGAAAAAGTCTACAGGCCTAATGCCCAGACGGTATTGATTAAGTGGTGGATGTGGTGACTCCAATATGAAGAAGCGTCTTTAACCCTGACCATGTCCGCATGGTGGACAAATCGTTGGTTGGCTGTTGTGGACCTTTTCCGAGGTCGTGACATGCTGCACTTCAAATGAGCCGGCGTGGATCGAACTAGAACCCCAGACATGCTGGTAACAGCGTTGCATTGCTGGTCAGCGCTAATGACAACAGGTAAGCGACAGTGTCGACTAACTCATAATAGCATCGGCTGAATCATGAACGGCCCCTCCTCCATCGAGTCTTTCCCTCCTCAAATGACCATTCTCAACTTCGAGTTTCCATGACTCTATTGTTAATATTATGCCAAGTTTATTGCCGTGCGATTCTGCTCCGGTACCTCGGGTTTTCGAATGGAGCCCCGGCATCGGGACCGGCTCGGACAAGTTTCTGCATCGGGTGTATACGATGATCCAACGACCTTGGCATCCCACAACGCTGCGTTCCACCCTTGTCCATCTCATGCCGGAACCATGACTAGTCTCGCTGTTTCAGAGCCGATTTAACCGATATTCTCGAAGAGTTTAAAGGGGTCAGCAGAGAGCCAAAGTCTATTAACTACCTTATTTCAGGAAGTGAGTTCCCTGGAGAGAACATTGAATACTGCTTATTTTCGTT